ATAAAATTTTATAGGTTCATCTTACTAGTTGCAACTCTCCACTTCATCGACTTCGTCAAGCTTGTGACGCAATTTCTGGATATGTATGCGGAGCCAGCGTCTCCAGCCTCTCACACTTTCCATTTGGAAGACATCCGCTACCACCATTCCCGCTCCTAAAATGGACCGAGCAAGCTGTGACTACCAATAACCCAGAGAACCGAGCCAGGATGCCCAAGAATTCAAGGTCGAAATCACTGTGACGAGAGACATTGAGACATTTCACTGCTAGCATGTAGACTGCTAATTTTCGCTGACAGGTCCAATAGGGTAAAAACTCGAGACTTGGGATTCCTGATCATGACATGGTCCGTTCTCGGCCAAAAAAGAGTCTTTTGAGTGGATCACCAACATCTGAACTGAACGCCACGGTGGATCGCTCAAAACAGCTCACATAATCAGCGGCTCTCTATAAAAAATAAAGGGAGAAGGAAAACAAGAAGAATCATAAAATCCCACTTGAAAGGGCCAAAGATGCCCAGAGGCCATGTGCCTTGCTCATTCGGTGCCATGTCCACGTGGAAATAGTGCTGGGCGGGACCGATCTTGTGATTGCCACGTGCCAATTGCAGGGAAAAATGCCAAAAAAGTCCTAAACCTTTTGCATTGGTGCCAATTTAGTCCTAAATTTTTTTTGATGTCAATTCAGTCCTAAACCTTTTGCATTGGTGCCAATTGAGTCTTAAACCTTTTTTTGGTGCCAATTGAGTCCTAAACCTTTTGCATTGGTGCCAATTCAGTCCTAAACCTTTTGTCTTTGTGCTAATTCAGTCATTCCGATCAATTTTGGCTGGATTTTGCTGACGTGGACGCCGACCGGCCGGCGGTCGGTCACCGGCGCTGACGTGGACAACTTTAATAATATTTTAATATTTTTTTGATTTTTTATTAATTTTTTTAATTTTTTTAATATTTTAATATTTTTTTAATATTGGCTGACCGATCGGGTGGCCGAGGCCGCGCGAGAGCGGCCTCGCGTTGGGCGAGGCCCGACCTCGCCAGATCCGGCGAGGTCGTGCCTCGCCCAGTCGCTGGCGAGGCTCGACCTCGCCAGATCCGGCGAGGTTGGGCCTCGCCCGGCCCGCCGCGGCGAGGCTCGCCCTCGCTAGCGACGGCGAAGGCGAGCCTCGCCATGGTTGGGCAAGGCCCGACCTCGCCAAATCCGGCGAGGTCGGACCCCGCCCAGCCGCCGGCGAGGCTCGCCCTCGCCAGCGACGGCGAAGGCGAGCCTCGCCCGGCCGCCGCCGGCGAGCCTCGCCCTCGCCGGCGACGGCGAGGCGAGCCTCGCCCGGCCGCCGGCGAGCCTCGCCTCGCCGGCGACGGCGAAGGCGAGCCTCGCCCGGCCATGGCGAGCCTCGAGCCCTCGCCGGCCGGCCTCGGGCGAGGGCTCGAGCCTCGCCATGGCTGGGCGAGGCCGCCCTCGCCAGTGGCTGACGAGGGCCAATGGCCGGCAAGGGCGAGCCTCGCTGGCCACGGCCTCTGGCCTCTGGCCACCGGTCCAGCGACCGGCTGGAGGAGGGGAGAGAAAAAAAAAAGAAAAGAAAAAAATTCAAAAAAATTCAAAAAAAATATTAAAACATTATTAAAGTTATCCATGTCAACGCCGGTGACCGGCCGCCGGCCGGTCGGCGTCCACGTCAGCAAAATCTGGCCAAAATTGACCGAAGGACTGAATTGGCACAAAGACAAAAGGTTTAGGACTGAATTGGCACCAATGCAAAAGGTTTATGACTCAATTGGCACCAAAAAAAGGTTTAGGACTAAATTGGCACCAATGCAAAAGGTTTAGGACTAAATTGACAAAAAAAGGTTTAGGACTAAATTGGCACCAATGCAAAAGATTTAGGACTTTTTTGGCACTTTTCCCGCCAATTGCAGGTTGGTCAGTAATCATTATTTTTAAGATGATATTTTATTTTTATTTTTATTTTTATACAATATTGATCAAACTTTGACTGGGTATAATTTTTTCATCCAATGTCCGATTCACTCGATTTTTATGCCAACAGAAAGCTCGCAACCTGAACTTTTCGAAAATGTGATTTTATATTTGAAAATTTTTTGTCTTCATTACATTTTGTGATAGTCATCCAAGGAATTTATCAATACAATCTAGTAATAAAGAAGCTTTGTTTTTTCAACATAAATAGGTGATATTTGTTAGCTAGTAAATTCTACACGGTCGAAAACCCTAAGATCGTGAAGCATAACTGTTGTCGTGCGAATAGTCATTGAGATATATTGGTGTAGCTAAGCGGTGTAAATTTTAAGAGTATTTGTGAATGTCATGTTGTGAATAGATTATTACCGGACATCTCTATCCACGTGCTGTGCAGAAGTTTTCTTAAAATTTGTGAATGAAGAAATATATCTCAATTACATTGTTCCCAATTCATCGTAAAAAAGAAAAAAGAAAAATCATTACAAGACAGCGATAGCAGTATTTGAGTGGAAGATGTTCATCTTTTTTTTTTGTTTTATCCAAATGGGGTGCTTTATCTTTCAGCTAGCTAATTTCTAGCTCCCATGACCCCAAATCACATTCAACATTAGATAGGTGAGATAAGTCCGATGTAACATAACGGTGAATACGATTTGACTCGCATGAATCGAGTTTTTCAATCCTTGCTCTTTTCTTTATCCCTACTACCTACCCACCAATTCCATAAAAGATTGAATAGCCCCTAATACCGCCACATTCGTCCCTCTCCTAGATTTTTTTATCAATTAATTAATATATATGATAGTGTATTACAAGTCATAAAATTTATCATGAAAGTGCATTGCAAGTCCTAAAACTTGTCATGAAAATGCAATTGAGTCTTAAAACTTTCAAAAAGTGCAATCAATATATGAACTTGATTGGACTAATTTGATAAGTTTTCGGACTTGATTGTATTTTTTTTAAAGTTTTAGGAATATATGCACTTTCGTGATAACTTTTATGACTTGATTGTGCTTTTTGAAAGTTTTAAGACTTAATTGTACTTTTGTGACAAGTTTTGGGACTTGCAATGCACTTAGCCCTTAATTTATTGTAGTGCGAGTCCCACTCCGATCTAATAAATTCTACTAATGAAAAGATTGAAACTTTACAATGGGTAAATTATTAATTAAAATTCTTGTAAGATCAAAGAGCATTCAAAAAAACGACCAACAAATTGCACATTTCAATAATAAAATGTAAGATATCCGATATCAGTGTCTAAACCAGCCCACAAAAGGCTGAAAAACAAAGTTAAAAACAAGAGAGCGACACTAAGTGTGAAAAGCATGAATTTAGCAGTGGACAACTGTAATACTCCCATGAAGATCGAAAGTACCATTCATCCTATTTTTTGAATCGATAGTCAATCTTGGAGTTCTTTTTAATGTTACAAGCTGATATTAAATATTCACTGTAGATCAAACTTGGGATCCTCAATAAAACCTCAATCTGATGTATGTTATTCAAACAAAACAGAACAATATCACCATGACTTGCTTTTTGAACTAGTGAAACTCAATAGACTAAAGCAATGATTTTTGAGTAATCTCGATCACCATCAATACAGCGCATGACATGTTGAAACACTTAAAAAAACCTGACGTATTATAAGTGTTTCTTATTTAAATCATTCAAAATATCAATATCCTTCTTCAGATAAAAATCTCAAAAAAAAAAATAGATGGAAAAACTTTTTTCTTTTTATTCTGATTTTCTAGACCCAAAGTTGTTTGAATCTCAATAAATAATATAATGCACCAAAGACGACCAGCTACACAAGCTTGGCATAGAAAGGCCTCAGGCTTGAGTATACTTTACACTTGACATGGCGACAACTAGCCAACATCATGGCAATCGTAATGATAACACTTGTGAACAAAAGAAAATGCATTATGGCGAGAATGGCGTACCTGTGGCGTCTCCCGTGGGCTCTACTCCAAGCGCCACTCTTCTTCTTCTTTGCCTTCCGCCTCAGCTTTTTTAGGGAGACCAACCAACTGTATAAGGTGCTTCAAGCGATTTTTGGTGGCGTTCAATTCAGATTATTGGTGGTCCAGCTCCGCGACACATCCCACACAAGTAGCGACACAAGCTTAATGAAATCGATGACGTGTGGAGTCGCGACCAGTAAGATGAGTGTGACCGCCATCCAAGCTTCTCCGTAGTACACCTTGGCATGCAGAAATGAGCCTGAGCACTAGCCCGAGCACCACAAATTAGATGCTTGTGAGTTGTTTGAGTTATCGCTAATAGAATATTTAAATATTAAATCACGCATTTATTTAATATGTTAAGTTTTTAGAACAGTTGATAACGATCCCATAAAATCTTACATGATATTAAATAGGAGGTCCTGAGTTCAAATCTTTCTGGGCCCTATTTTCCTCTCCCAATCAAATTAGTACTAAACAAAAAAGACCAGAGTAAGCGTGAAGGGTAAGAAATGTAGTACCTCCAAGAGGAATAAGGAGGAGGAGAAGATATACCGTGGAGAAGGAGAAAAAGGTTTACATTTTTTTAGACTCTATTTGCCTCCTCAATTAAATTAGTACCGGGCAAAAAAGACTAGACTAAATGTGAGGGGTAAAAAATGTAGTCTTGCCAAGAGGAACAAGGAGGAGAAGAGGGTGGAGAAGGAGAATAAGGGAGACTCTACTAAAACAATTGTGGTTTTTTCTTCTTGAAAATAATAATAATAATAATAAATAAATGTCATGATCACACGGGAATAGATTGGTTTCAATGAAAGAATTAAAGGAAGTGATGTTGCGCTTCTCCATCCCCTCTTTAAGCCAAAAGAAAGGAAGGATGAATCGAGAAAATATTGGGTGGTCCGGGACCTCCACGGAGGCGTGGTCCCGTACCACTCAGGAAGCGCCACGTGGTCCACGTGGCACTTGTGGGGCCGACTCGCCAGGCCACGATTTTCTCCGCAAAAAATAATTTCCATCCTCTTTCCTAGCCTTCACGCTAGCCCTACGTGCCCTCTCCCTCTGCTCTGCAATTCACTCTCCTCTCCTCTCCGTCCTTTCCTTTCCTCATCAGAAGACGAACAAGAAAAGCAAATATATTTCCTCTCCAGCGTCTCTCTCTCCAGCAAACGCGCTTTCAAATTTTGAATCTCTTTTTTGGGCTCTCAGATTTTGCTTCTCCGCTCGTTTCTACTCGGGCGTTCGTCAAGCGGCCGTTCCCCGCTCGTTTCTACTCCGGCGTTCGTCAAGCGGCCGTTCCCCGCCGTCGCCGACGAAGCACATTAAGGCCGCCCCTCGCGCGCTCTTAAGGGAGTGAGGCAGAGGCCGAGGGGCGGTCACCCGCCCCTCAACAAGAGCTTCGGGTTATCGCAGTTTTTCGGGAGCAACAACGAGCTTAGGGACGAGGTTGGGAGAGGGCAATTATTTTTTTTTTTCTCTTTTTGGTCGAAGGCGGCAGCTCCCAAGGCAAAGGCTGCTTCTGCCGCCAAGCCCAAAGGAGCTGTGGTGGGTGTGAAGAGAAAGGCGGCCGAGAAGCCGAAGTTGAAGCCCGCGGCGAAGCCGGTGCAGACTTCTGCGAAGGCGACGCCCTGTGAAGAAGGTTGCCCCCGCGAGGCTGAAGACGACGCCGGTGAAGAAGGCCAAGAAATGAGTCGGTGCTGTGTTCTTTACTAGAGTAGGGGACGGTAATTTTGTAGTCGATCATGTTCATTCGCAGCATGAACCCATGTTATATGCTTGCTGTCCATTTTGTAGCCGAAAAGACAACAGGGGATCTAATTTTGTGGTGTTGTCTCATTCAACTGGGGAAGACCTTGTCTTGAATTACTCAGGAAATAGTAGCTGCTGATTCAACAGAGTGTCCAGTAGTCTTTTGTAGTCCTTCTTACTTCTATTTGGTGTGAAGTATTCGAAGATCTGTGATGCGATTTTAGCATTTTGATTTCCGCTCGAAGAGGGTTTCGTGTTGCTTTGATTGTTTCTTGCTTTAATTGATGTAGGCTTCGGATCATACACAGATGTTAGATTTTGGTTGTCGTGGGGTTACAGGTTCGGTATTGTTGCAGCTTCATGTTCCCTGCTCGGACGTCACATTTAGCATGATTCGAAACTGCATGATCCCTATTTGGTAATCTGATTTAGGTGAAAAACACTTGCTTATTGATCACCTCGGTATATGATACGACGCCCAAGGCTCTTCAAGCACCCGAGCACCGTGAGTTGAGCTTTTAAGTGGCAACAATTTACAATTTTATTCTTGTGACAAATGCTTTGTCTCTCTCGACTTTCCCCGGTTAATCAAGCACAGTAAGATATTTAAGTGGCAACAATTTACAATTTTATTCTTGTGACAAATGCTTTGTCTCTCTCGACTTTCCCCGGTTAATCAAGCACAGTAAGATATCGAGGATCTTCCAGTTTGCTCAATATCAACAGGATTACAGTTTTGTCAATTTTTTTCTTGATGTCGCTGAGTGACTAACGAGTGTCCAACTAAGAACAACACTGCAAGTACTGATGGGGATGAATTGTGAGCAACCGGAGTTACGATCTAGTCCCAACTAACGAAATTCAGTATCTTTGTAGTAAGTAGGTGATAATCACCGTAAGAAAAGACCGAATTTTTCGTACAGGTACATAGGATTTATGGACAATTTTCACTCCAATGGTTTCGGTTGATTCCCAAGTTGAAAGCTGCTCATTTTGTCAAACACCCAACAAATGGAGAGCTAGATTTGAGAAAATGGTACTCATACTAGACAGGAAGCTTCTTTAGAAAGTAACAAAACCAAATTCTATTTGAACTGGTAACAACATGCCACAAAACAGCATATGTTGTCGTATTGACTGAGACAATTAAGCATCGTGTTCGTGAATATGACCTTCAATAAGTTAATTTCATCAATCTATAACCAAGTGAGGGGGAGAGCTGAGGTCATCTCATGGAGCTTGGATTTTCCGGCAGTAAGACAGAACCATCACGAATTCTTTGGCCAAGGTCCCGGCAGACGCGGTCACCCTCTTCAACGATGCCGCGGTCCGGAACCGACTTCAGCTTCGCGGGGGCAACCTTCTTCACAGGGCGTCGCCTTCGCAGAAGTCAGCACCGGCTTCGCCGCGGGCTTCAACTTCGGCTTCTCGGCCGCCTTTCTCTTCACACCCACCACAGCTGCTTTGGGCTTGGCGGCAGAAGCAGCCTTTGCCTTGGGAGCTGCCGCCTTCGACCAAAAAGAGAAAAAAAAAAAATTGCCCTCTCCCAACCTCGTCCCTAAGCTCGTTGTTGCTCCCGAAAAACTGCGATAAGCCGAAGCTCTTGTCGAGGGGCGGGTGACCGCCCCTTGGCCTCTGCCTCACTCCCTTTCGAGCGCGCGAGGGGCGGCCTTAATGTGCTTCGTCGGCGACGGCGGGGAACGGCCGCTTGACGAACGCCGGAGTAGAAACGAGCGGGGAACGGCCGCTTGACGAACGCCCGAGTAGAAACGAGCGGAGAAGCAAAATCTGAGAGCCCAAAAAAGAGATTCAAAATTTGAAAGCGCGTTTGCTGGAGAGAGAGACGCTGGAGAGGAAATATATTTGCTTTTCTTGTTCGTCTTCTGACGAGGAAAGGAAAGGAGAGATAGGAGAGGAGAGTGAATTGCAGAGCAGAGGGAGAGGGCACGTAGGGCTAGCGTGCAGGCTAGGAAAGAGGATGGAAATTATTTTTTGCGGAGAAAATCGTGGCCTGGCGAGTCGGCCCCACAAGCGCCACGTGGACCACGTGGCGCTTCCTGAGTGGTACGGGACCACGCTTCCGTGGAGATCCCGGACCACCCAATATTTTCTCGGATGAATCACCCGCTGAGGAGAAAATATTGGGTGGTTCCGGACTGCCAAGTCAGCGTGATCCCCTACCACTCACGAGGTGCCACGTGATCCACGTGGTGCGGGTGGACCCGGCAGGCCAGGATACGTGGCCCTACACGCCTCCTTTGCGCTGAGAACCTACGAGAAAATATTACGTGAGTGGAATACTCCACGTCAGCAATGCACAACTCCACTGAGCGAGTGACACTTGGCAAGCGGGCCCACAGATCAGATTTATTAAAAAATCTCACTCTTTCCCTTCTCTCTCCCGTCCTCCGTTAACTCTCCTCCGTTAGTGCTCAAATATTCACTTTTCACCTCCTGGTTTCTCTCTCCTTTACTCCTCCCGCTCTCTCTCTCTCTCTCTCCTCTTTAATTACGCGCGCTCTCTCTCTCTTCTTTCTGCGTCTTCATCCCCTCTCTCTCTCTCTCTTACTTCATTTCAAATTTCACACCTCTCATCTCTCTCCTCCCTAAGTCTTGGAAAATCCTCCGACCACCTCCGATGAGCACCACCGGACGCTCCCTCTCAACTGCTGGAAAAGGACGGAGGCTTGGTGGAATCGAGTCGGGGTCGGAGGGCTCCCTCTGAAGAACTGGTCATCGAAGAGAGATCGAGCCGTGGTTCTACCCGGAGGACCCAGAAGATAGGCGAAGTTGAACTCCCTGTCGACGGCGTCGCCTTGCCATCCTCGTCGCCATCTCCGCATTCACTGGCACTAACCGTCTTCTTAGTTGCCCGTTCATCTTCTCCTCTTCCTCCTCCTCCTCTGCCTCCTCCCATTGAGGTGATTAGTTGAGCACCACCCATCGGTGAGCTCCGCTGCTCTTGACTTGTGCATCTTCCGCTACTGTTGACTATTGCTTGAAATTTGTTGACGATTAGTTGCCTTGATTTTGTGCATCCTTAAGAGGGAAAATCGCTTGAGAAAAAAAAAAGTCCTTTTTCCTCACTGCGTTCGAACCTCGCTCACCTTCGCCCGTTGTCGTTAGCCATGGGGTCTCAGGAGGGTACAAAACCATCCGTGTTCTTCTTTGTTTTGTGTCCGGAACTGATTTTTGATGATTTGGGCTATTGTTGTTTGATGCGTAAGTTTCGGATGAGAAAACTTTTGTGTTTACCTTTGTTCTTGTAGTGCACCCAACGTGTTCAACAAAATGTCCATACCGAGTCCGTATATATGATGAGTAATTGTTGGTCATTGTTTTTTTGTTTTATTATTTGCTGATGGGTAATTGTTGTATCTATTATCAGAAGCCGTGATATGATAAAAAGACCACTGAATTAAGTGTATCATACCAAAGACAAGATGTGCAAGGAACCATTATTTTTGTTTTGAACCTTTAGAGATAAAATTTGATATTTCAATCAGTAATTAAGTTTTAAAGATTCATCGTTTCCACAGCAGATATATGGAGACTGTAGGTTTTTGTTCTTCTGCATTTGTCATTCTAGATATGTGCACACACATGCCCACAGACATACTTCTGACATGCTCTTTGCTCATAGAAGTAGAAAACTCATCGCATCGTCAAAGATCAGGAGCCTTGAAAATGAGAGCATCAGAATAACGTCGACAGAGGGGACATTCTTGGACAGAGAGAGTGATGGGGCAATGGTTGAAAATTCTGCAGATGGGTATGTTAACAAAGAAGACACTTTTTGCTTTCTAAAGTACTGTGTTGGCTTTCTTCTTCTGTTTATAATTGACTGCAGCCATCAGCTAAGAGCCTTAACTTATCTGCAATAAAATTTATGTATGTGTATGTAATTATTCATGTGCATATATTGTGTGCTTGCTATGTATGATCTCAAACTATCGATTTCTGTCAGTTTACATGGAGCTGAATATTGACCCACTGAAGTGCCTTAGAACAGAGAAAATGAAATTTTTGATGGCTGACTTTTGTGAGATGAAATTGCCAATAATATCGTAATAATAGTGTAAGTTGCATCATATTTTGCACGAATGTGGATTGCATTGACCTGCTCGGTCAAATTGTCTTGGATTATTTTCTCAAGCAGATTAAACTTTTGCACCAGGGATGAACAAAACTGGCCCATTAATGTTCAAGCCACGGGGGGTCAGAATAGTGTTTTCTTGAACATTTCAAACTCCAGGGGCACTTCTGAAGTTGAAATAACTGGCAGCATCAATGACGATCTTGGTTCACCCATCAAACAAGCAAATGATGCACCCCTAGAGAAAATGGATACTGAGTTGGCAGATTCAGGTGATGACGTCCCCTCTACTGCTATAGCCAAAACGGGTATTGGTGGGAGAAGATTGAGGGCCGTGTTTGATGATGATGAGGATTAGCATAATGGAAATCAAGGTTTTGTTTCCTGGAACATCGCATTTTTCTGTAAAGGCTTTGAATAATTCTTCCAACGGTTACGGTTGCCTTGCAATGTACATAATAGTTGGGATTTTTGTACACTTGCAATGCTACTTCATGTTTTTTTTTATCCATCCTTCTCTTTTACCAGTCGGTCGATCACCTGGTAAATTGAACTGCAACCATGATGAAACCTGAACTATTAATCATATATAAATGTAGAGAACATAGAGTTGAAATGAATATGGTCAGGGGTGGGAATCAGCAAGGCTTGACTATGACCAAGTCCAGGATTGACAAATGTAATCGTTCTATGTGCGGCTTTCTTATGGTAGGGGGCGCGCTTTTCCAAATATGAAATGTGCATCATGTTCATATGTATCATGTTGTGGTCAAGGTATTACGACGATCTCTCCGATTATAGTGCCTCTATTTAAGGCCACGTTTAAAACTTGAATGACGATCCCACAGTCATATCTGTATGAGGTTTTGAAACCTACACATCATTGTACCTACATTTTCTTAATGGATATTTGGTAATTGGTATATCCTTTTAATTCTTTTATCTAAAGCATTTCGATTGATCATTTGAGGTTAGCTATGGCTTATCAACGATCTTTTGGAGGACTAGAATCGGATCGACCTGCAATTTGACATTCAGTCATACTTGCAAAAAAAGTGCGAAGAATCTATTTCATTTGATCGGTCGTTCTTTCCTCTAATCCTGTCTATATTATCTTAAGTGACATCGTCGAGTAACGACAAGTTGCATTAGACGACAGATGGATGGTGATAGTAAAAGAGCTGGACTGATTATATTCTCTTTTCATTGCCTTGTAGACTTGATCTAGCCCTTCTTCAACTAATTCAAGAACAGTCTGCGGCATTGGAGGTGCGTTGATCTCCACCGAGCCTTCTAGCATCCGCACCACTTCCCCCATTGTCGGTTTCACGACCACTTCATCTTGAATACACCAGAATGCGACTCTCAATGCTCTTATTAGCTCTTCCTCTTGCACGGCCCCTTCTAGTCGTCTATCCGCCACTTTAATTGGTGTTCCTTTCACCAATTCCTAAGAGGAGGTTGACAGGATTTATAACGGCGAAAGCATATGAAAAAAAGGAATGCGCTGAACTGCTATAATAGGAAATGCGAACACTATTAGACACTATAAATTCCTGGTTCAAGAGGGTACCTTAAAAGCCCAGCCAGGGTAGAAGAAGTCTTGAGCGTCAAAAGACATGTCCAGGTTTCTCCGTCCTGACGATCTCCAAAAGAAGCATCCCATAACTATAGACGTAGTTATAGGCCGGTTACTAACCCATTCCGGTTATGTAATAGGCCGGTTACTAACCCATTCCGGAGCAAAGTAGCCTCTGGTTCCTCTAACCATGGTCATGACTTGTGAATGCTCTCTCCCCATCAACTTAGCTAGCCCGAAATCTGAAACTTTGGGACAGAAATTCTCATCCAGTAGAATATTTTCCGGCTTAATGTCGCAGTGTATGATCCTGATCCTGCACTGCTCGTGAAAGTATGAGATCCCTTGTGCCATCCCAATGGCTATTCGGAAGCGGGTTTGCCAATCTAGCAATCTGTCTCGCGAGCTGAACGAAGGGAAAATCCACTTGTCCAAGGACCCGTTTTTCATGAACTCGTAAACAAGAAGCCTGTCCATTACCAATCAAAGAATCCAGAAGAATGAAAATGAAGCATGAAAAAACCCATCTGCTTACGAGTCTCTATAATGGTTCTTTGCACATCTTGTCTTTGGTATGATACACTTAATTCAGTGGTCTTTTTATCATATCACGGCTTCTGATAATAGATACAACAATTACCCATCAGCAAATAATAAAACAAAAAAACAATATGACCAACAATTACTCATCATATATACGGACTCGGTATGGACATTTTGTTGAACACGTTGGGTGCACTACAAGAACAAAGGTAAACACAAAAGTCTTCTCATCCGAAACTTACGCATCAAACAACAACAGCCCAAATCATCAAAAATCAGTTCCGGACACAAAACAAAGAAGAACACGGATGGTTTTGTACCCTCCTGAGACCCCATGGCTAACGACAACGGGCGAAGGTGAGCGAGGTTCGAACGCAGTAAGGAAAAAGGACTTTTTTTTTTCTCAAGCGATTTTCCCTCTTAAGGATGCACAAAATCAAGGCAACTAATCGTCAACAAATTTCAAGCAATAGTCAACAGTAGCGGAAGATGCACAAGTCAAGAGCAGCGGAGCTCACCGATGGGTGGTGCTCAACTAATCACCTCAATGGGAGGAGGCAGAGGAGGAGGAGGAAGAGGAGAAGATGAACGGGCAACTAAGAAGACGGTTAGTGCCAGTGAATGCGGAGATGACGACGAGGATGGCAAGGCGACGCCATCGACAGGGAGTTCAACTTCGCCTATCTTCTGGGTCCTCCGGGTAGAACCACGGCTCGATCTCTCTTCGATGACCAGTTCTTCAGAGGGAGCCCTCCGACCCCGACTCGATTCCACCAAGCCTCCGTCCTTTTCCAGCAGTTGAGAGGGAGCGTCCGGTGGTGCTCATCGGAGGTGGTCGGAGGATTTTCCAAGACTTAGGGAGGAGAGAGATGAGAGGTGTGAAATTTGAAATGAAGTAAGAGAGAGAGAGAGAGAGGGGATGAAGACGCAGAAAGAAGAGAGAGAGAGCGCGCGTAATTAAAGAGGAGAGAGAGAGAGAGAGAGCGGGAGGAGTAAAGGAGAGAGAAACCAGGAGGTGAAAAGTGAATATTTGAGCACTAACGGAGGAGAGTTAACGGAGGACGGGAGAGAGAAGGGAAAGAGTGAGATTTTTTAATAAATCTGATCTGTGGGCCCGCTTGCCAAGTGTCACTCGTTCAGTGGAGTTGTGCATTGCTGACGTGGAGTATTCCACTCACGCAATATTTCCAGTCGAGTCTCTCCCCTCTCTCTCTCTCTTTATTAATGGCAGCCTCCTCCTTCTCTCTCCTTCTCTCTCTCCTCAGCGCTCCCTCTCTCTTCTCACTCACGAAGCTCACATTATCACTCTGTTTTTTCAAAAGTTGCTCCCGCCCAAGAGCAAGCCGCCTGCCCGCCGGTCTCAACCTCCATCATCGCCTCCGCCCGCCCAAGAGCAGCTAGGTCCTAAACCTCTTACCGCCGTCGCCTCCGACCTCCTCTCTCCCAAGAACAAGCCGCCTGCCCAACCAAGAGCAGTTGGGTCCCGAACCTCTCACCGCCGTCGCCTCCGCCCGCTCCAGAGCAACCCGCCCGCCCACCGGTCCCGAATAACCTGAAGCTGCTACATATCCCAAATTTGGTACAATGTGGTACATGCCATTTATGTGCTCGATCCCTAGACCACAAGTGGATGTCATTGAAATTTTGCTACAGGGAGGTGCAAGTATTAAAAAGAGATTTTGCTTTTTGGGCCATTTTTGTTTTTTGTTTTTATTTTTTATTTTTTATCTTGCACCCTTTTTGTCTTCGATAAAGTGGTGATGCCTGCAACTGAGCTAAATTCGCCAGTGTTCTCTAGAGCCTCAAGTATAACAGGTTTTAGCCTGCACATAATTTGGTTGAATCTTGTGGTCCTCTGTGTAGCGGAACTACTAGCCACGAACAAATTGTCAGAGTTGGCATGCTTGGCCTTGTATCTAATGTATGAGAAGAAGCAAGGGAAGAAGTCTTTCTGGTACCCTTACATAAGGAGCTTGATCGTCAGCGAGGAAGGGGCTTGATGGCAGTGGAAACTCCGCTTTTGTGGGCAGAAACTGAAAGGCAGTCCAACAAAGGTACTACAATGCTATGTTTTGTTGTTGCTCTGTAATAAATGCTTCGACAACTACATCAAAGTTTATTAATTTGTTTTATGTTTCAAAAGTCTGAAACTCTACATTCTGTGTCGGAGCATTAGGCCGAAGTTCTTGAGAGAGCTGAAGGGATTAGAAGACAATACCATGAGCTCGACACTGTTTGGTTTATGGCTGGTTCTTTGTTTCAGGTAATAATTTTTGCTCTTATACTTTGTCTGTCCAGTTCCTATTACCAGTAATTTTCTTTTATGTACTTTTGCTAGTAATTATGCTAGCTCAGTGAGTCTATTTATTTTGATTTTGCAGCAATACCCTTATGATATTCCGACTGAGGCCTTTCCGTTTTGAGATTTTCAAGCAAGCCTTTGTGGCAATTCAATCTTGCGTGGCGCATTTGCATGTGCTGCTCTTCATACCTTTTGCATGGGGAAATAAGCACTGTTGCTCTCACTAGATAACTTACATTTTGTAGATGTTAAATCAGATGACTCCTGTTTGATTTCACAAAGTCAGTCTTGCACGAAGATTTGCTTTAGTTCCTCTTGGTCCCCCCATTGCTAGCATATAGAAGCAATTGCAAGACAATGTTGACAGCTATTGATGGTGCTGTTGAACTAGTAGTTGATCGTGCATATAAGGCTGGAGAACCAATAGCTGTTTGGTATGAATTCTTCTCTTGTTGAAGTTGGCTTTTCAGTGTAAAATCGAGGTCTTCCTTCTTTTCTTGTTGATCCTTAAGGCATCCTTGTTCTGCACTTCAATGCAATCTTAATGGTTGTTATATTTGGTCTTAGATGTGGACCGCAGCCTAACTCAAGATTGCTTTTGAATTACGGTTTTGTTGATGAAGAAAACTCTTACGATTGGCTTGGGGTTGAGGTAAAAATGTCTGCTCTTTTCCGTGCGATTTCATCATATGCTTGTCAAACATTCTAATATGCTTTTCTCCTTCTTGTCTGTTTAGGCTTCTTTGAATACTGAGGATCCACAATATCAGGATAAAAGAATGGTTGCTCAACGGAACGGAAAGCTTTCGAAACAAGTTTTTTTATGTATGAAACTTTTTGCGGCAAATTAGTAGCTTGGATTTGCCTCTCATGAGTATTGTATTGCTTTGTTGTGCAGGTGTACGGCGGAAAGGAAAGGGAAGTTGTGTTCGATATGCTTCCTTATTTGCGATTGGGCTATGTTTCAGATCCTTTGGATATGCAGTCAATCATTTCATCCCAAGGTCCAATCTGTCCGGTAAGTTTCATCCTTTGAAATCAATTTTAGTGTTAAAGTGCTCTCATGTTGTGGTTAATTCATATATTATTTATCTAGCATTTAGCTTATATAGTCTGAATAATAGATTAAACTTTGGTGGATTACATGTTAGTTTTCGGCTCCTGTTTTTGGTTTTTCTGATTCTCGATGCATCTCCTAGAGTGACCTCATGTGCAGTTCACTGATACTACTCCAGAGAGAAGAGCGTTCACTAATAATGTTTTGCTTTAGAAGCTTCGTCAGTCTTCTCATGTCATTTTGGCAAGAATTAATTTGTGAAATGTCAGATGTTTTCTTCAGGTGAGTCCTTGCACAGAGAGCGCTGTCTTGGATTAACTAGTTGAATATTTCGAGTCACGTATTGCTGACTATCCTACAACCTTGAGCGAAGATGAGTCTTTGGTAATTTGACTTTGCTGTACTCCATTTTATTTCTTCAACTGCTCCACATTTTGTGCAGGTACAGTGGGAAAGATGGGTACGGCTTTGTCAAAAATGAGTTGAAGTGGAACCCCACCTCCGCGGGTTTTGATCCAGGCCTTAAGACAAGAGTGTGCACTGTGTTTTAGGTTCAAGGAAGACATGCACTGGTTCCACGATGAAGAGACTCTCGCTAGGCCTCCCTTATTCCTTACTATTGTTAAGATGCTAACTAGTCCCCTGTCCCTGCCCCTTTCCTCATAGCAGGTCTTTTGTGTGACTTTCATGTGAAGTGTTCATCTTTTTATGAGGCAAGAAGATGTTATTTTGCAGGCACAATTTGCTTTGTAAGCACTAGTGCGGGATATTTCCTTGCCGCCTTTTGTAAATGTAAGTGTACACATAGACGACTGATGGCAATTTAAACTTGCTCCTGTGCTTGACCCTTTAGATTCCACAATTTTCAAGTACTTCATTTGCTATTTTCAACTTGAGTTATGAGAAAAAAGGGCTTACATCATTTCTTCCCACAGAAGTATTCCATAGGGAGGGCTAAAAGGAAATATTAATTGGGATACAATTGAAGATCACCTAATTCTTTTGAGAATTAAGAGTTTATTTGGAGTGTGGTCCGACTATTTCGGGGACGACCTTTGGAAGATCTAGCATGAAATATGTTGAAGGAAATGCATATGGCAATTGAAAGAAAATCGCCCCGAGAGCTTGTCATCCCCGAGCCTATAAATTATATAAGAACGAGATGAATATAATCACATCAGTAACTCATATACTTAGGTGCGCATGGAATGCATTCCGGAATAAAATTTGTTCCGAATGCATTCCGAATAGAATGGCGTTTGTTAAAAATTTCCAATGCATTCGGAGCGATTTTGCATTCCTAAATAAAAATGCGTTTGTTAAAAATACTTGATTCCGACGCATTCTTGATTCCGTAACGCATTTTGATTCCGGAATGAGTTTTTGAAAAAAGTTAAGCTACTTTTGTAGCTTCTCGATTCGAACGCATTCTCCCTATTTTCTCATAAATTTTTTTCAGAAAATGCATAAAATTTGAAAAATTCTAGAAAAATTCATAAAAATTTCCAGAAAATAAAAAAAAGTCAGATTTCGGGAAAATATGAAATTTGGTGAATTTTTTTAAAAATAAAAAAAATCAAAAATTTCAAAACTTCAAATAGCTTAAAACACATGCGCCACCCACTTTTAAATGAAATTTAAATTTTTTGAGGTCCAAAAATCAAAATTTCAAAACTTCACAAAATGGCTTAAAATACCTGCGCCACCTACTTTTGAAATAAATTTAAATTTTTGAGGCTACCAAAAAAGAAAAATAATAAAAAATAAAAATTTTCAAAACTTCACAAAATAAATTTTAAAATACCAGCTGCCACCCACTTGAAATGAAATTTAAATTTTTGAGAGTGCCCAAAAAAAAAAATAAAAATTTCAAAACTTCACAGAATTGGCTTAAAATATCTCGTAGACCACCCACTGGAGTAAAATTTAAATTTTTGAGGTGCCCAAAAAATAAAAAATAAAACAATTCAAAACTTCACAAAATGGCTTAGAATACATGCGCCACCCATTTTGAGTGAAATTTAAATTTTTTAGGTGCCCAAAAAATTTAAAAAAAAAAAATTTCAAAACTTTACAGAATGGCTTATAATACATGCACCACCCACTTTGAGTAAAATTTAAATTTTTTAGGTGCAAAAAATCAATAAATCAAAACAGATTGCTCCAGTAAATCAATTCCTGGAGCGACTAGTCATGTTTTACCAAACAGATTTCTCCTCCGTAAATCAATTTCTGGTAAGAATTCCGTAAATCAATTTCTGCAAGAATTTGATTTCCGAGAATTGGTTACCATTCGCACCCTTAGGCTATTTTCAATCGCGGCACGATGAGGATGGGATTTCTTTCTTTCGGTATGTTGTGAACCGGATATTGACATACCCACAAATGACTCAAATTTACAAGGTACTAAAAATAAAGTGTCCCAAATGTGATCGGTTGAATCAACCTGTAAACTCCCATAGCCACTCTCGCTTTTGGCTCAGGATGCTGACCACCATGGTCTGGTGGCTACTGCATTCAGGTCTAGATCTCATGGGAGAGAGGGAGCCTGTGCCACTTAGGCCACCACCGCGAGATGATTGAGAGAGAGACAGAGAGATCATCGTCGCTGTGGTCATTTGAGACCATGGTGATGGCTGCTAGCACCGCCATCATGCGGCTGTCTCCTACGACCTTGAGCTTTAACTTCTCCCTTTATTTTTTCATTGTCCATATCCTTTCCAGGTAGGATTAACTCATGGACTAGTCCGGATTGATCAGATTCATAACATGACACTGAACATTTGGATAGGATAGTTTATATAGCCTTGGGCATCCGAGTCCTTTCTCCTTGAACATTTGTAAATGCTCTCCTCTATTCAATTCAATACAGTCTACCACTTTTGCACAAAGATGTAAAAACTGCGGTTAAATAATTATATGCCTCGCTTAAGTAGAAAGATTGAGGAAAGAATATACTTGGACTATTTACCTGGCCTAGAGAAAATGTGTGAAAAAGAAGAAAAAAAAATCTAAGCTAAGACAATGCTTCAGAGGGTTGACTTCACGCAACTCGCATCACAGTCTCAATTTGGTCCTCCACATGTCTCCAATGACCATCTTAGGTTGCGGATTATCTCGCCCTCGATCCCGCTGCCCCAATGTAAAGTACAACCAGCCGTCCCAAAAGCCTGCAATTGCGGTTTTGACGCTGTAAGGAAACTTCCCGATCACCATCCATTTCTGCCACACAGCATCACAGTCCACATATGTATGGCCATACAAGTGCAAAAGTAATAGAACATCAAGTACTGCATTAGAATAGACTTCAAATGGCAAATCTTTTTCTGCTTTTCATCGAACTTTGGATGGGAAAAGGTTTTTCACCTGCCTGCATCATCAATCTTACATATTCAACGAGAGAGAAGAAATCGCACCAGTCCAAATCAAACCAGAAGACCTCCCCGACTCATATCATCCTCTTGTTTATTGGATGCTTCTCAGTGGTACCTACTTGCATCATCAATCTGGTTGCCATTACCTGCAATAGATCAGCTGCATCATGGCAACTTCATCGACTTAGAGGCCTCCTACTTGTGATAAAAAAAGTGAAGATGGAAAAAGGCATATACACATAAAAAGAGCAAGTTGTATCTACTATCACTATGTCGTCCCCAAAGCTAAGGATCTTTGATACGCAACGCTGTCACCTATGGAACGTATAGATGCTATATTCGCTTCTGCTATCTTCCGCCTTCCGACGAATTATGGTGCGACCGTGCATTGTCTATGCCTTCAGAATAGTTCAATTCATTCATCCTAGAATGTTGAAAAAAATTTGATGGCCCCTGTGCAAAGGTATAAATAATACATTGAGAAAAGGCGGTATGCTAAACAATGTGCTTGCATAAATATTATCTCAAATAATCCCACGTCAAAAAAAGTGAGGCAATTTGTACTTGACTCAAAATGTTTCCATGGGATCTATTATGGTACTCCAACATCTATCGACAAAAAACCATTATCAATAAGCATTAGAATAGTTTACTAAAATGAAACAACACTAGGATCTAAAATAATTTTCATAATAGGTACCTGACTAGTGAATGGAGAAAATTCATTTATAACCCCTGGTGGCATGATATATGGTGGTTGCATCTATATAAAAAAACGACCTCATTAGTAGAATGTAACAAAATGCATCCACGGGATCTATTTTGCTACTCCAACATCTATAAACGATACACCACTAACAATACACCTTAGAATTTGCAACAAATATCAGCTAATATAGTAACCCAAACTTCTAAAAACCTAACTAGTGAATGAGGAAAATCCATTCATAATCCCTATTGGCATAACATATGGTGGTTGCATCTATATAAAAAAACGACCTCATCAGTAGAATGTAACAAAATGCTTCCATGGGATCTATTTTGTTACACCAAAATCTATAAACGATAAACCACTAACATGGCAACAAAATTTGCAACAAATTTCAGCCAAACATTAGAATAGTAACCCAAACTTCTATATACCTGATTAGTAAATGGGGAAAATTCATTTATAATCCCGAGCGGCATGATGTCTGGTGGTTGCATCTATATAAAAAAATTTAACCAATTAGTAGAATGTAAATATAAATGTTGAAGTCAGAGGGACACACCTGATTATGGAGATTGAGATTTACTATAGGGCCACCAATGTTGCTATGACGCAAGGTATTTCGAGTCTGATTTGAATATCTTGAATAATTTGGTAAATTAGTCACATACTCCGTTGCTTGGATTGCTAGCTCTACATTGTAAAATAAGCAGTATATTAATTGCCATCATGTAGCATAAGTATAAAAATAAACTAAACATATTAACTAGAACTCTACATCGGTCAGCTCACCTCGACTTTCTATTAGCGACAGGGGTGTTCCTTTCTTAGATTTTTTTTTTCTCACTTGAGCTTTTAAGCCTTCCATAAGTAGTTCCCTTTTCTTTCTTTCGAAGGGGATCCAATGTCGGCATCTCACACAAAGAAGTCTCATCATTATCATCATCACTAGCATCATCTATCACAACGAGACTTGAGTCGTATGCTGAAATTTCGGTCACTGTTACATCCAAGTTCTTCTTCGCTATCCTCATACTATTTTCATCTTGGGTTCCCAAACTCATCACTTCAAAAGAATTTCTCATTAACGTGGAAAATCGATTAAATGTAGAAGGACCTGGTGACATTTCATGAGATTCATCATTCACACACCCTTTGCTTTGCACCCTTACTCCATCTTTTCAATATATAGGAAGATGGAGTGACTGAAACCAATATGTTCCTATTCAACACGTGCAAAGCATGGCGACACAATCACCCATTTGATTCAAATACTTTGCAGGTATAAGAAATTGAAAGGTCAACAGGGTTAAATTTGACAACATGCTCACCTTCAATTCCCTCACGTATGAGAGTGTAGTGAAAAATTACCCCATCAAAAGCTTCACTTGAAACAAGTTCGGAGATACCTTGAAGAAATTCTTCATGAAACCTTTGAAAAATGGTATGAGTATACACCGAACCGGCATGCTTCACTATCCTGTTATCCGAAATCCACGATTTGGGCATCCCACGAGATTTATAATCATATTGACCTTCAATTGCTCTCATATGTTTCAATTGTTCTTCATAGTGGTGAACAAATTCTACAAGGGTCAATGTCTTAGTTGACATTTTTTGGAAGACATTGTTAGTACTCTTGCTCCTTTAACTTGATCTTATTCCACAAGAAAAAATATCACGACCAAAAGCCGAACTCCATTCATGTCTAAGGTCGTATAACCTCTGAAGCCAACTGTTATTCTCAGTACCCCACTCCTCTTCCATTTTCCTCCAAGTACATTCAAATTCATCCTCTGATTTGCACTTATACATAAGTTTTGAGAAATATTTATCCTTGAACTCTGACTAATGGTAAAGATGTGGAATGTTTTGATTGCATTTTTCCCAATGTGCCATGTGCATAAACAGTGTTGAGTATTTGGAAACACCGTTCGAATGGCTATTGCCATGGCTTGGTCTTGATCGGTGAAAATGGTTTTTGGAGCCTTATTTTCCATAAACTTCAAAAACACCTCAAATAACCAAATAAATGAATTTGCGGTCTCATCCAACAAAAATGCACAACCAAACAAATTATCAATGATGATTAATTCCAACAAAAGGTACACATATCATATTATACTTGTTAGTACGATATGTGGTATCAAAAACCACCACATCACCGAAACAATCATAATCAAATTTGGCCAAACTATCTCTCCAAAATAGATTTGTCAATCTACCATCTTGATCTACCTGTTGTGCATAGAAAAACATTGGATTTTGCATTTACATGCAATGAAAATGATTCAGAAGACTTTGACAATCTCCCTCACTTATATGAGTTGATCTTTCACTTTTCAAAAAATTTTGACAATCGCGCAGGATGAAACCCAAGTCTTGGCTTCCTCCTGCTTCATTTGCCAAGAACTTAGATGCCATGGTCCCTCTAATACCAGCCTTAGCTATATCAACTAAAATACCCTTGCAAGTATCGGAAATCATTCTTCCACATCTTATCAAGTGCCTTTGATGTTCAGGTATAAATCCATGATTATGCTTGGGAACATACTCTATAACTTCATAAATACCATTCTCAACCTTAAATATGATAAATGTAGGATAGCCACATCTAACTTCAAGTCTTTCATATTTTCTTTCTTGTTCAAATGAGTTGGCAGAATAATCCTCACAATTACACACAAAAGTGCGTCGAGTTATATCTCCTTTGTCATTTTTTTCTAGTCTTAGACTTCCTCACTCCAAATCCTTTACCTATAGCATAGGCTACATATTTATGATATGTTTCAAGTTCACTTATAAAAACCATTCCTACCATAAACTCGAAATCTTTTTTCAAGTCACGGGTAACATGTGCTATTTCACGCTGCAAGCAAAGAACAAAAAGTATTTAATGTTGTGCTTTCACAAGCAAAATAACATCCAGCAAATATGCTTCACATAGTATGAGTTAAAGATTATCTCCGACTCAGCCATCGGATAACCTTACACTTGCGAATTAACTGACTAATCGCGAGCGAATCAGAGAGAGATGGAACCTAGGACACTCGATAGTTCCTTGCACAGGGCCAACTTAGCACAACCAGGTATTCTTGAGATATGAGAAATCAAAACATAATGACCACATTTGAAGTAACAAATTATCCACAAGAAGAATTATAAGATGAGAATTTTTTGAGACCAATCTATGTTTGCTCAAACCAATAACTAATGATCTAAAAAGAAAGAAATAACAAAGTGGTGCTGCAACTAAGACAAAAAAAAAATCTTGCAGAAACTGGACATATATAAAAAAACTCCTGACAACTAACAGTTTGAGATAGATAAAATCTGATTGTTAAAGAGGCTAACATTTCATAAAACCAAAAGCGAGTGATGAAATTGAAACGAACAGCGAGTGACAGGGGAACAAGGAAGACGACATCGAAGTTACGAGAAATCTGCATTGCAAACCAAACAACATTAAAAACCATAAACAACTCAAAAATCTGAAAAGTATCCATCTAGTCATGGTTTTAAAACTGTACTGCTAACTATGAAGAAAGTATCCATCTAGTCATGGTCTATTAACTTTTCTTTTTGAAATGTCATGCATGTGCTGCCTTCGAGCACTTACCAAACTTCTAATATTGGGTTGATTAAGTACCTTTGCCTTACGATTTGCCTGCACCAATGACCATTGAATGCCACATACTATTCAACACATACAACAGCTTGCTTCAACAGACATACTCTTTGCTCTTCATCCAGGCATAAAACTTGAGGTTCTACTATATTCGATAACCGAATTACGCAAGTTACAAATTACGAAAAATGGATAAAGTAAGATATTTTTCTGCTTGTAAAAAGATCCAAAGTTTGGAAAGAGAAGAACCCGAGAAGCAACAGCAAGATGTAGAACATCCACGAAATGTTTGCTAACATGCATAAGATCATGCAGATCACATGCAAACACATACAGAAAGGATGTAATTTTTTTCCTGAAAATTTCCCAACCTTGTTAATTAGAAATTTTAGAGAGCAAAATTCCAATGAAGGCAATAGAGATTGATATTATGATTTATTTTGTAGTTAACATACATGATTCCCCATGATAGGAATGTTTGGCTAACTACCAGACATGGCACTGGTGCGCTTTTTCAGTAAGAAGAACCATACTTGAAGCAATTGAACTAAATCCAGAAAAAAGCAGGATTTATCAAGCTGAGCTCGGGACGAAAATGACATTAAGGCAATTGATAGCAGGACATAGGTAAAGGTTTTAACCTTTTTCCTTACCACACTCCTGAGTGTAACAAATCCAAAATGAATTATGTACTTGGAACCCACAACCCCAATCTTTTTCATTCGATCACCCTGTTGAAAGAACATTTGGGAGATTAGTCGTATGGGAAGAAAAAGCATTCTATCTTAAAGGAAAATTTCGCGACAAGAAAATGCCTGAACACAGTAGCCGAGCTAAAAATCCAATCCCCATGCATGATTTAAGTCATTCTGCAAAAAGAACAGAAAAGATATGAGAAAGAGATGAATTGATAGAAGACGTAGACTCCAACAACAGAGAATGAAAAACAGTACAAAGTTTTCAAGGTCAATATTTTGTAGTAGAAGTTCCTCTTGAAGCATAAACGGGGCTTCGATTGTGTAGCACAATCAATTTACTGAATATATGACCATGCCTTTGGTATGCCTTAGTACTATTGGGCGAAGGTCAGGATCGGCGAGTGGGTAGGTTGCTCTCAGGCGGGCGGACGCGACGGCATAGGTCGAAGGCGACAGCAGTGACAGGTTCGGGACCCAGCTGCTCTTGGGCGGGTGGAGGTTAGAGGCTGCGGTAATGAGAAGTTTGGGACTCAACTGCTCTTGAGCGGGCGGGTGGCTTGCTCTTGGGCAGGCGAAGGTCGGAGGCGAGGGCGGTTAGAGGTTCGGGACCCAGCTGCTCTTGGGCAGACGGGCGGCTTGCTCTTGGACAGGCGAAGGTTGGGACCGGAGGGAGGGTGGCTTGCTCTTGGGCGGGTGGAGGTTAGAGACGACGGCGGTGAGAGGTTCAGGACCCAGCTGCTCTTGGGCTGGCGGAAGCGACGACAGAGGTCGGGACCGGCGGGAAGGTGGCTTGCTCTCAGGCGGGAGCAATTTTTGAAAAAATAAAGAGAGAATGTGGGCTTCATGAGTGAGAAGAGAGGGGGAGCGCTGAGGAGATAGAGAAGGAGAAAGAAGGAGGAGGCCGCCATTAATGAAGAGAGAGAGAAAGGGGAGAGACTCGATTTGAAAGGGGGTATACGTTCTTAGCGCAAAGGAGGCGTGCAGGGCTAAAGGAGAAAAAACATTAATTTTTTGTGCAAAAAATGTATCCTGACCGGCCAGGCCCACCCGCGCCACGTGGACCACCTAGCGCCTCGTGAGTGGTCAGGGACTACACTGACTTGGCGGTCCGGGACCACCCAATATTTTCTCCCCGCGGAGGGACTCACGACCCTTTGTAATGACGTGGCAAATTGCTTTACTGAAGACTTGTTGGGTCGGTTGTTTGCATTGCATGCGCTTATTAGCTTTTGAAAGAGTTGTTGGGGAAATTTGATTGCTGATGAAGATAGAGAAGTAGTAATAGATCCTTGATACTTTGATACGTGATGACAATCATTGTCCTTAAGGTATTATTTGCCCCCACTATTGTTGTTGCCGGGTTTAGAACAAGGGTTAATACCACGAAAAACCCTAAACTGGTACACTTGTGATACATTTACCCCAAACTATTTTTTTTACCATAAAAAACCCCAAACTGGTACACTTGTGATAATTTTACCCTGAACTATTTTTTTGACCACCAAAAATCCCAAACTGGTACACCTGTGACAATTTTACCCTCAACTTACCACAAAAAACCCCAAACTGGTACATATGTGACAATTTTACCCTGAATTAAAATTTTAATATTATTTTTTTATTTTTTTCGAATTTTTATTTATTTTTTATTCTTTTCTTTTCTTTTTTTTTTCATCTTCAAACTCTGGCCGGTCGCCGGTCTGGCGACCGGCCAGAGGCGGAAGCCGGCAAGGGCCGCCCTTGTCGGCGTCGGGCGAGGGCCGTCCTCGCCCATCCAGGGCAAGGGCGACCCTCGCCCAACTCAGGCGAGGGTGGCCCTCGTCCGACGCAGGCGAGGGTCGCCCTCGCCTGGGATCCGGCGAGGGGCGACCCTCGCCGGTATCGGAGAGGGTTGCCCTCGCTCGGCGGCGGGCGGCCCTTACTGGATGCTTGGATCCGCGAAGGCCGCCCTCGCTGCGTCGGGCGAGGCCGCCCTCGCTGCGTGGGCGAGGGCGCCCTTGCCCCGGGCGGCGAGCACGGCCCTTGCCCGACGCAGCGAGGGTCGCCCTCGCTAGATCCGGCGTCGGGCGAGGGCCGCCCGACGCCGGCGAGGGCAACCCTCGCCCAATACCGACGAGGGTCGCCCTCGCCGGATCCGGCGAGGGCGGCCCTCGCCGGCTTCCGCCTCTGGCCGGTCGCCGGACCGGCGACCTGCCAGAGGTTGAAGGTGAAGAAAAAAAAAAGAAAAGAAAAGAAAAAAGAAAAAATTCAAAAAATAAAAAAAATAATATTAAAAATTAGTTCGGGGTAAAATTGTCACATGTGTACTAGTTTAGGGTTTTTTGTGGTATATTTAGGGTAAAATTGTCACAGGTGTACCAGTTTGGGATTTTTTATGGTCAAAAAAATAGTTTGGGGTAAATGTGTCACAAGTGTACCAGTTTAGGGTTTTTCGTGGTATTAACTTTTAGAACAAATATACCTCCAGGATATACACCAAAGCCGTAGAGAACTGAGTTCAGCAATTAGTTCATTTCTCTATTAGAATTTCACCTTGAATGTGTTAAAGTTGTGTGAATAAAAAAAGTAAAAGAGAGTATTCTGAAGAAGTTGTAGTTATGAACAATTGTAGTTATAATAAATAATGTGTGATTTAGTCTATATTTATAGACAACCAATCAACACATCTCTTGAAAATAAGTACCTTATATCCAACCACCACCACTCTTCATGTTAAAAATAACTTCCGTTCATAACTACCGATAAACTTATTTTAGGACGAAGAGTCACCTCTTTTCATAAAGAGTCACATCTTCTCTTAATCAAGAGTCACATCTTTTATGATAACAAACTATTTTAACAAAAGTTTCACTACCTTTAGTTAGCACTATTTTTCTACTAAATAAATACAATAAAAAGAAAATAAAAATGAGAACAAAAAAATTAAACAATGGTCTCAAAAAATATTGTGGAAAAAAATATGTGCTTAGGTTTTGCTTTGACAAGGAAGATGAATATATGAATTGTTCATCCATATATGATATTTCTAAATAAATTTAGTGATGATAATTAAGATTTCATGTCATCAATTTTCATCTATAACCACATATAGAATATCTTTACGTAGTATAACATATATCAAGTAATTTGCTACTTCAATTCAGTTGAGTCCTGTGCCACTTCCTACTTAGAGAGCCATGGAGCAGAGTTCACATCCACCTTACTTGTTCTTTCTAAAAATTTGTGGCCATGCATATTCTTTTTTTCAGTTGCAAGACAGTAGCTAATTGGTAATCAAAATGCTAAAATGAAGAGGCCGTGCGGATTTCAGGGTAGGACTTGAGCCTGTCTCCTGCTAACACTAATTTTAGACTTTTGAGAATTGGAACAGGTCTCCGATTACCAACCTGATCTTGGATTCCGGTTCCAAGTTCGATATGTCACATAACTATTTCTGTTTCTCTAGGCACTGCAAGAGAGATGTAGAACAGAAGAAGAAGAAGAAGAAGACAATCAACGAAGAGGATAGCTCAGTGTATGTCCACAACATGTTTGGCATCTATAGCGCAAGAGATGCTGTTGTCAAGTCTTGCGAGTCAATTTGGTTGTCATTTAGGTTTCGGGTTGTGTTACTGAACATAGCATTGATTATGATCTCCATGCACTAAAGCAAAAACTGGTTTTGTAGATAGATCCAACCAGGGGAGAACGCGACAACTTCGTTACTCTCAACAGCCCTGCCATCAATGAGATGAATGGAGGAGGGGTATACAATTTTGGTTCTTTCTTTTCCATTGGTTCTTCCGTTGACATTGTCGAGTTTTGGCTTAAAGCTTTTCAATGGATGGTTGATTGGAGCCAATGATGTGAAGACTAGAGGAGACAGATCGAGTTTTGATCAAGACAGTTAGGGACTTAGCGATGAGAGGGGCAGAGGTGTTGACTGGGTCCACCTTATGTGGGTCCCAGCCAGCACAAAACAAAATAAAAGAGAAAAGAAACAAAAGTCAAAAAAGAAAAGAACAAAAAGAAGTACTTCGTGTGTGGA